TGGAGAGCTGCAGGCTGTGGAAATGGGTCAGGCAGCCTTGCTCCTGTGGGTCCAGAGGTTGGCTTCTTCCTGTCCCAGCCCCCTAGCCAGGCTGAAATGTGGAGGGAAGGCGGTCCGAGCTATTAGCTACTGAACCCCTTTGAGGAGGAGGAAGCGCTGAGAGGCAGGTGTCATGTAGGGCCTGTTGGCAAGATCCCAGCAGACCACTCACCCTCCCACACCCTCTCTCTCCCCATAGGTGTCAGCAGTTCCCGTGGTGGTGTCAGCTGTGGGGGCCTCACGTACAGCACCACCCCAGGGCGCCAGATTGCCTCTGGCCCCATGGCCACTGGGGGCAGCATCACAGTGATGGCCCCCGACTCCTGTAACCCCTGCCAGTCCCGCTCAGCCACCTTCAGCTGTGGGAGCAGCCGGTCAGTCCGCTTCGCATAGTGTCCGGCCCGCGGTGTCCGCCTGAGCACAGAATGGTGTATGAATGGAAAATGTGTGCTTGCTTCCAGAATCTTCCACATGTCCCTTTAGAAGGAAAAACCCGCTGGCCACTCTCCTCCAACTTCTCATTTTAGGGAGTTGTTTCCTGGTCTTCTCAACTTCGGTTAGAGAATCATTCCTAGCCTGTCACTTAGCTCTAATTTTACTCCAAAATATCATTAGCCAATTCGTATTCTCCACCAAGTCTCTGGACATCAACCGTCACTCAGGGTGACCATTTATCATGGAAGCTTGGCCTTCCCCGGGGACGAGGAATGAGTCCAACCAGTCAGCTGGGTCTCCCACACCCGAGGACCAGAGAGGAAGCCGACCCCTTCCACCCCCAGAAATGCCCCTATCCCGGAAGGTCTCTGCAGGAAGCACTGCCCGTGGTTATTTTTGTTTGTGTTTTGCTTGTCTCTGACTGATTTCCTTCTTCTTTAAACTTGTTCCCGCCAAACTCCTCATGAGACCTCCCAGTTGATAGGCCAGTTGTGGGGGAAACCCTCTAGACTGGGGAGGCCTTGCTATTCAATGCACCTTTATACATTTCAAAGAAAACTCTATGGTTGCTCCAGATCTCCCCCTGCTGGTGCAGGAGGGGTCTGACAATGCAGAACCGGTGGGATGGAGGTTAGGCCAGGTCCGGGTCTCCCACTTGTCATGACTGTCTGCGGGTGCCTTGCCTTCTGGGCTGTCTCAACCTGTTTCAATAAATGCTGCTGCAATGCAAGGATCTGTGGTCTTGTGAACCATGCCTCCATCCCGTGCGCGCGCCCGGCACATCGCTCCCCCCCGGCCCCCCACCCACCCCCCCCAGCCTTTCCAGGCCCTGCCGTATCTCCAGCCCCGCAGTGACTCCGCTGCTCCCTGGCCACGTCCTTATCGCAGCTCCATCCTCCCATTGCCCTCAGACCCGGGCCACATGACCTCTCTCTCCCCAACTCTGTGCCACACGCCTCAGCAGCCAGAACCCCATCTCACGCTCATTGCCCTCGGGCCCTCTCGCCTGGTTCAAACCAATCCCCGGCATGTACATGGGTTCCTCATGCCCAATGCAGGCTCCCTCCAGCGCCTCATTCCCACCTTCACCTCAGGCCTGCATGGCACCCTCAGCCAGCACTGACCCCCAGATGTGGGCTCCACCCGTTGGGACAAATCCTCTCAGCCAGCCAGGGCCCTCTCATGTGAACATAGAGGGCGCCTGGGCCGCTCACCATTTGCCTTTGCTCCGAGCCTCTGCTCCCCACTTCCTCCCCGCCACGCCACACACACCTTCCCCCAGGATCTCTGGTTCCATCTTCGTGGCTGGGGCCAGAGATGCCAGTGGGTGTATCTGGAGTCTGGATCAGACTGAAAGTTCCTTACGGGCAGGCAGTGGCTCCTCCTGGCCCTGCCCGCCCCCCACTGGCTCCCAGGGGGAGCGCCAGAGCACCCAAGCCCTGCGGGGCTGGATGAACGGGGGTAGCTCGCAGAGCAGGCGTGATGGCACCGTCTGGGCTCGCCTCCGCTGGCCCCGCGGGAGAACAAGCTGGCTGTCACTAGTGCAGGGAGGAGCCCCAGCTGTATCTTCTGGTGGGTGCTCACTTCAGGCTCAAAAGCTGCAGCTCCTTAGAGGCTGCCAGCCTCCAGCCTCCTCTGGGTGCGCTGAGGAACCTGCCACTGCTGGCTGAGGACTGCGGGCTGACTCTGAGCATGCCCTCGAGTCTCCCATCTGCCCCCTTCTTTCTCCCGCCTCCCTCGCGGACGTGCTGGTAGTCACCATAGACCAGTGTTCGATTTAGGACACATTATTCATCCACAGAAAAGGTTAGTTCTTGGGCCTCCCTGGTGGCGCAGCGGTTGAGCGCTGGGTTGCGAGGCTGCCCGCGGCCTCTGCAGAGCCGGTTCGATCCCCGGCTGCTCCCCGGCCCCCGGAGGAGGGTCCCACATGGCGCGCAGACCTCTCCTGCCTCCCGCTGCTCCCCTCAGCAGTGTCCTTCGGTCCTTCTGCCTGCTCTGCTCCCCGCTCTGGCTCTGGCGAATTCTCTCACACACACATACACCCGCCCTCCCGCGCCTCTGACTTACCCAGTGCTTGTATAAATAAATAAATAAATAAATCTTTAAAATAATAATAATAATAAATAAAAATAAAATGGAGAAAACTTTCCAAGAACAAATCTGTGCGTATGTGCCCTGCATCACAACTGCCAGACTGAGACAGACCCTCCCACATGCCCACCCTGGGAGGCAGCCCCCTGCCACCTCCTTCCCCATCTCCAAGCCGGAGTGGTAGCGCTTTGCCCCTGATTTTACCTCACCCCACCCCACCCTGGCTCAAACTTGGCACCCAGGCTGTGATGTGCCCAGACAACCCTGCCGGACCCACCGTCCAGAGCAGAGATGGGCCGTGCCACGTGACCAGGCCTTGGTCCTCCTGGACCCCGGCTGCACTGCCAAGAACTGCAGTAAGTGTTTCCTCTCTTCAGACGTGTGTACTTGTGGCAAAACACCTTCTAACCAGTTGGGTCTCGTTAAGTCTTTTATTTTTAATCCCAAATAAAATAAAGCGGGAGAAAGAGTTCTTCCTGTAAAACAAGTGAAGAAAGTGTCCTCTGAAATCCTCTCTCCATCTCATCACGTCAGGGGGACACGCACACGTGAGCAGAACCTGAACAGACTCCCCTGGGCCAGGCTTGTTGGGGACTAGCAAAACGTCAGGAAGAGGCCAGAGACAGGGGTCCCCAATCGGTTGCCCCATCTAGGCCATCGGGGGAAGTGCCTTGACAGAGGCCGGAGTTTTCATCCCCGGTTCCCCCTAAAGCCCTGTATTAGCTGCTCCCTAAGAACTGTCTGAGGTTTTGGAGAGCAGAGGCTACGAGGAGATGTTTCTACAAATGTTTCTAGAAGGTTTGTTTATGTCACTGTCCATCTCTTGTCTCTGATTTAAGTGCCAGAGGAGTAAGGTAGGCTGGGTAAGAACCCCGCATCCGGGAAATTCTGATGGGCCAGGATGTCCAGTCTGGAGGAGCAACTGGAGTCAGCCGTGAAAAGTATGTCAACTTTGGCTTTCCCAGGACCTCAGTTTGGGGCCCAGACTGGCTGTGTCACATTGATAAATCTACTTCATTTCTCAGAAGCTCAGTTTCCTCATCTGTAAAATGAAAGTCACTGGCTGTGGGCAGTAAATGAAATACACACATGACAGGCCAGACATGTGGCAGGCGCTTGTGAACGCAGACTCCCTCTCCTCCTCGCCCCTGCCTTTGCCCCGACCCTCCCGGCCTGGGTGGCCCAGACTGGCTCTGACCTTTCAGCAAAGTCCAAGGAAAAATGGGAAGAGAGCCGTCTGAGGGCCTCTCTGGTGGCGCAGGTGGCTGAGCGCTGCATTGTTGAAGCTGTCCGAATTCGATCCCAGACAGCGAGAATCCCACATGGCATGGCAGACCTCTCCTGTCTCGCCCGCTGCTCCCCTCAGCAGTGTATTTCAGTCAGTCTGCCTGTTCTGCTCCCTGCTCTGTCTCTGGTGAATCCTCTCACCCTCCCGCACATCTGGCCTGTACCCCGGTTCTTGTATAAATAAATAAATCTTAAAAAGAGAGAGAGAGAGCCATCTGATCCTGTGAGATCACAGGGAAAGTCACCTCTAAGGTCAGAATTTCTGACCCTCCTATTCCCTCTCCCAGGTAAACCAAGGGTTCTCAAACTTCAGTTCCTGTGGGAATCCCCTGGGAGCTTGTTTACGTTCAGATTCTTGGGCTCACCCTTGGAACTCCAGATTCAGTAGTTTCAGATGAAGCCTAAGGCCAGTCTAGTCACCAAGTCCCCTCAGGGGTCGTGATAAGGACCATGGTCGTTGGTGCCCTCTTGGCGAAACACTGAAAAAAATCAGGGCTTTGGTTGGGCTGGGAAAACCACCAAGGAGGCAGTGTCCACTTGGTTACCAGGAGAAAGCCTTTGCCATCCACACTTAATCATGCACACCTAAGGGAGAAGGAGCCAGAAGAATCACCCCCCAAAAAAATCCCAAACCAACACCAGTAACCGCAGCCAGCACCAGTCTTTCTGTACTGACTCAGGAATTGTTGGGGTGCTCTGGGAACACACAGTCTCTCTCAGATCAAGTGGGGGAATCTCCTGCAACCCCAGCCCCATGAGGCTGGAGCCCTCGCGGCTAAATCAGCAAGCACAGTCCCTCACCCCGGGCAGAAGATGGACATGTGCCCACACACTGCTGTCTCCCCAGAGGGCGGGCCACTGGCCCAAGTTGGTTGAGAAAGAAAAATACCAAGCAGTTTGTATCCAAAAGTCTTTATGTCCCTTTCCCAGAACACAGCGGGGCAACCAACAGAGGTGGCAAGAATGCCAAACCCAGGCAGGGCTCACACCAAGAAGTAACCATAACTCCAGTAAGAAGGAAGTCGAAGCGTTGGTTCTGGCTTCCCTGCGAGGGGCAGTTACCAACCTGCCATTTGCACCCCAGAGAGAAAAGAGTTCCCCTTCCTACTCCCCACCTCACCCCCCAAGAACCCAGGGCCCCACCCCTGCTACGCAAACCGCACAGCCCTGGCGCCGGAGCAGACGAGGACAGACGGGGAGCAGACGCCGCCACCGCTCAGGGCCACACCTGCCGGGCCACGCGGGACGCTGGAGCCGAGGTCCCCACAGACCACGCCGCCCTGGGATCGGCTCACACCTGTAAGGAGACGCGGGTCAGGATTCTCCTTCATCCCAGACACGGGAGCTTTCTCTGTGTACCTGAAACTCAGGCTGTTTTTGTAGACCCAGTTAGGGGGTCAGAATTTGCCACTTTCATTAACTTAAGCTTCGAGGGTGTTCTATGAGGCCATATCTAGGGGCCATCCCTTTGTCCAGATCCCAGAGACCTCAGCTGCCATTTTCCTCACCCCGTGCCCTGCAGCCAGAGGGTCAGTCACCCGTTAGATGCAACCCAATATTAAGACTGACATCCAAAAGAAACACACACACACACACACACACACACACACACACTCTACTTACAGATGTTGACCGAGCCCACACCTTCACACAGCCTGCAGGAGAAAGGAAAGAGTAAGTGGTTAGAATCCAGTTCCTCTGGGCCTCCCCAGTGGCGCAGCAGTTGAGCGCTGTGTTGCGAAGCTGCCCGCAGCCTCTGCAGTGCCAGTTTGATCCCCGGCTGCTCCCCGGCCACCGGAGGAGGGTCCCGCATGGCGCGCAGACCTCTCCTGCCGCCCGCTGCTCCCCTCAGCAGTTTACTTCTGTCCTTCTGCCTGCTCTGCTCCCCGCTCTGGCTCTGGTGAATTCTCTCACCCTCCTGCACTTCTGACTATACCCAGTGCTTGTATAAATAAATAAATAAATCTAAAAAAAAAAAAAACTGCACCCTTTCATAGATGCTAGCCAGCGCCGCAGCACATCTACATGTTGACCGCTTTGTTTCCTTATTTTTTGTAATGAGCATTACTTGTGCAACCTAACAAAACGCATTCATTGCCAACAGGAGATCTATTCGAAAGTCAAAGGCCACAATGTGCAAAGCACTAGACAAAAGCACTAGACAAAGCTGCCTTTTAAATGCTCAAGCGTTGGGGATGGCCCCTCACTCACTCTGTATGGAGTTATTGATAACACTGACCGCTGTTATCAGAAGGAAGTTTCACAGTGCAAACGCCAAGTGTCTCACTAAGTGCTGGTGCATGGGTTAGGGATTAAGAACACAAAGGAGCAGAGAGCGCTGGTGACTTCTTCCAAAGTCCCATAGAAGTGGCAGTAAGTCTACCTACTTCAGTCAGAGCTGACGCAAATCCAGCAGTAAGATCAACTACCATGGGTGCCGCTCGGGTCAGATTGCCAAGGCTAACCAGGTTACTAAGGAGCTTCTCTGCCTGGGTAACCTGCATAGAGATATTCTCGTTCTGAAAATAAGCTGCTCCGATTGCACTTACTCTCTTCCATTACTTCACTTAATCCTTACAACGATAGCCTTAAGTGATGGGTTTTATGATTATCTCTGTTTTATAGAAGTGGACGTTGAGTCATGAGGGGGTAAGTAGCTAGTAAGTGCTGGAGCTGGGATTTGAACCCAGGTGGTCTGGGTCACAGGCCGTGCTCTTAACCTCTACACTCTGCTCCCCAGACGAGGCTGCCCCCCTGATGGGACCCAGCTTGGGGTCAACAGTAATGGCCACTTCAAGTCACCTGAAGGCATAAACACACCTGCTCCTCTCCATGCCAACCTCAACTGCCCCAAGTCTTGGCTCAAACTGTCAGCGCTGTCTGAAGTGTCCTGTCCCTCCCTGCCCCCTCAGCTCTTCTGTCTACCCCTAAAACAGTCCCCGGGACACTAACCTGGTCATCTGAAGGACACATTTATGTGTGCCCTGTCTCCCCCTGCTAAGAAGAGTCTCTGTTCTGCTCACTTCTATTTGCTGTCACAACCATACGACCTGTATTTGTACATCCCACATCACATCTTCTTTTAGCACCCACTGGGCATGATAACAGAAACCCCTCTGTAGTCGACAGGGTAAAGTGGCTGCCTTGAAATGAGCTTTACGTGATGCTAGAGGGGTAATGTGGGAGGGAAATAGATCACTGGGGTCCTGGTGAGGAGACTGGGGCAATTTCAGCACCTCTATTCTCTGGGCCTTAGTTTCCTTATCTGAAAATGTGGTCATGGGTGAACACCATGATCCCAAGAGGCTTTCCCAGTCTGCAGGTTCTGTGCTGGAGATTTACGGCCCAGCAAGGATCTCCTTTAGCCCTGAGTGGGGATATAAAGTGGCCCCATGCATTGTCCTCACCGGCTCTCCTCGCCCTCCAGCAGCTTCCGGTAAGTGGCGATCTCCACGTCCAGGCCCAGCTTGGAGTTCATCACCTCTTGGTACTCCTTGAGCAGGCAGGCCATGTCCTGCTTGGCCTTCTGCAGGGCGTCCTCCAGGCCTGCCAGCTTGCAGCGGGCATCGCTGAGGGCGGCCTCGCCCTGCTGCTCTGCCTCGGCCACTGCTTCCTCCAATTTGCAGCGCTGGGGGTGGGTAGAAGAGTGAAGGATTTTGAGACGGGTGCAAGCTTGAGAATCCTCATTTTATTTCACCTGCATTCAAATGGTCAACTGCAATGTTATGTTAGCTAAGCCATTTGGAGCTTCCTTTCTTTTTGTATACCACATGATTCTAAACTCAAGTCCATGGTGAGCCACTAGGAAGGAAGGAAATGTTAGCTCTGGACAGAACAAATAACAACTAGTGATAGTATCTTGGATTTGTATATTATTGTTCGTTTACGAGGCACTTTCCCAGATGTGATCGTACCTGACCTTAAAGTCACTCTTGAGCTTGTCGGAACAGGCATTGCTACTCCATTATGCAGACGAAGAAACTGAGAGGCTCACTCAAGTGCACCCAGGTAATTAGTGCTGAGCTGAGGTTCTCAGAGGCCAATGTTTCGAGCCCCATTCCTTGGCCCCCTGAGATCAGTAAGGAAAGGTTGATGACTCGCAACACAGTAATTGCACTTCCTCCTTTTTTGCCCCACTTAAGGAAGCACAAGGAACCCCTACAACTCAATTGCAACAAAAGCAATAATCCAATATTTATTGATGGGCTAAGGGCTTGAATATGCATTTCTCCCAAGAAGACAGATGGCACCAGGTGTATGGAAACATGGTCACCATCCTTAGCCATCCATGAAATGCAAATCAAAACTACAATGGGAAATACTACACACCTGTCAGAATGGCTATTATTAAAAAAAAAAAAAAAAGACAATTGCAAGTGAGGATGTGGAGAAACTGAACGCTTTGCTCACTGCTGGTAGGAATAGAAAGGGTGAGGCCCTTCTAGAATCTGCCAGCACCCAAGGGAAGTGTCTCCATGCTTATCTTAACCACCCAGCAACGACTTTCCACTTACATTCAAGACACCACTCAGCCAGGCGCACATGGAGATATGTACAAAAATGTATTAAAATGCTTATGATACAATAAGTTGTAATAGCAAAGACTTGGAGGCCAACTAGGTATCCGTCTATGAGGGGTGGGAAACGATGATTTATGAATAGTGCAAAGCTCCTCAGGACAGGAATAATGAAACCTGTGGATTTCAAAGACAACATCCACTGGCAAAGGGAAGAATCAGAATGAGATTTCTGGCATAATATCATTAGATCAATTTAAAACACTAAAATCTATAGACATTTTATGTCCATCTATTTCATGCCAAGGTACAAGTGTAAATACATGCCTGAAAGGTGTATTTCAGGATAGAGTAACTACAGAAGAGTGTGTACTGGGGATGGGGAAGGGAACGGAGCTGAAGATGAAGGCTCAGCGATGTGAGATTATGAGTGGTGGTGGGGTGCACTATGTGGGGGGTGGGGGAGTGGTCAGGTCAGGTCTGCACTCCTCAAGGCCATCAAGATGCGTGGGGAAAAGGAGAAAGCAGAGACCAGCTCTGCACACACTGCATAAGGTGTGTTGAGAGGAGAGAGATGGTGCATGTGCCTGGAGGGCAGTAGGAGCGCAGTAGGAGCAGAGCACAGAGCAGGTAGACTGAGCACCACAGTCCCTCAGGTGCTTTGTGACCATCAGTCCTTTGCTGCAGATGGTTAACACATGAGCCCCTCCAAAGACAGTCCTGGCCCCGGAAGCCAGAAGGAAGTAGGAAGTAGATCAGAAGAAACAGGTGCATTATTATAATTAGTCTTTTTCCTGGTCCCTTATTTAGGTTTTCTAAAGTGCTGCTATGAGTGAGACCATCTGGTATTTTTCTTTTTCTTTCTGGCTTATTTCGCTGAGCATGATCCCTTCCAGCGCCATCCATGTTGCTGCAAATGGCATGAGTTTATTTTTTTTTGATTGCTGAGTAATACCATAGACACACTATGAGGGGGGAGGCGGGAGTAGGATCAAAACAAGGGCGGGTGGGAATTGTATCGGGACTGCAACCAAGATGAAAATGCATACATTCTGCAAAAACGAAAAATGATGTAAAAAATATATAAAATTTTAAAAATAATAATAATAAATTTAAAAAGAAGAAGAAGAAGAAGAAGAAACAGGTGCAGTGAGCGGTGCCTCGGGGCCTCCTGACCTGCTGCTTGGCGTTCTCCACCTCGGCCGTCAGCCTCTGGATCATGCGGTTCAGCTCGTTGAGCTCCTCCTTGGTTCTGTGGAGGTTCTCACCCTGCTGGGTCACCGTGGTCTTCATCTCCTCGCACTGCAGGTTGAGACACAAACATGGAGAAATGTCTCTGGTGGCCTCGTGGCTGGAGTGTGCGCTGGGAAGCCACTGATCCCACCCTCCCAGATTAACCCGCTGTTTGCCACTGCCCCCCTCCTCCTTCCTGGTGTGCTCAGACCGAGGCTGCCATGCCCCGAGTTTGTGGGTGCTGTCTTGGGACGCCCCGGGACCACAACTCTCCTCCTTGTCCAGGTGCCCGCCCAGCCCTCCAGGTCACCTTGTTTTGGTACCAGGACTCGGCCTCGGCCCGGCTGCGACTGGCGACATCATCGTACTGAGCCTTGATTTCAGCCACAATTGAGTCCATGTTGAGCTCCCGGCTGTTGTCCATCTTGACCACCACCGAGGTGTCAGAGATCTGTGACTGAAGGAGCTGAATTTCCTGTAGGAGACAAGAGCAGTGTCTCGGCCCCAAAGCCCCCCGATTCCCGTCTCCACCAGTAATCCAAAACACAGTCCCGACTCTGAAACTTGCAGAAATAAATTAGAAAACTACTGACGAGGAAAAACTTAGAGTGTCGGTTTCAGAGGAAAAGGCTGGGATTTGGGCCGTGGCTTCATGGCAAAGAGAAAGGGCAGATTTCTATGTTAGAGACCGACCGCCATGCTCGGCCTGAGGCCTGAATCCAGACCCACTGGAACGATGTGTATAAATAAATGCATCCACCAGAGAATGGCCAACTTAGAGTCCTGAGTTTTCTGCTTGGGTTTTCACGCCTCCTGAATGAACATTATTAGTTTATCTAGGCACCTAAGCCGACAGCTTCAGTCCCTGCTTGGTGCTGTGAACAAGCAATGAATCGGTCTTTCAAATTATTTTAAAGGGAGAGCATCACCCATTTCCATTTGAAAGGAGCCTGAACAAGAGAAGATCTCTGGTCACAGAAAGAAAGATGTCCAGGGCTTAAAGGAGTAAAAAATGGACAACCTTCCCTGGAACCAAGGAACCAGGACAGGCCACACCCCAAGAAAATCCTCCTCTGTCTCCTCCCCCACTTGCTCTTCCAGAAATAGGGAGAAGCTCACCTCCTCATAGAGGGACTGCAGGAAGCCCATCTCCTCTTTCAAGGCCTCCACATTGGCCTCCAGGTCAGCCTTACGCAGGTAGGCACAGTCGATGTCCTGGTGGGGACAGACAGGAGACAACAGGGCATGGGTCACTCAGTCCCCCTGAATCCCTGTACTCTACAAGGGCCTGTGGCATCTCCTGGCCCACTCTTCAGCCTCTGACCTGGCCCTGCCTATCGACTTCTAACCTGGACACCTCGCCTTCGTCTAAGAGGGATGCCCTTGGTTATCTGTCACTGACGTTGCACGCACATCAGTGGGGCCCTCTGAATAGGGAATGGAGAGAAGTCTGACTCCTCCAGACTTTTCCCCAATCCCTTCAGCATTGGGGACCTTGCTAAAGTGAGTAGCCTAATATCACAGCCCCAAATGCCGGGCGGCCACCTCTAAGCCAAACTGGCCACTAAAGTGCGACCACGTGGCAGCCAACAGAGCCACATGGACACCTCGCCAGCGGGTGTGCGCTGGTGCCCAGGCCTGGCAATGCCCAACACCGAGAAGTGACACCCCTGCCTGAGCTCAAGGTCAAACCTCTGTCGGCAGGTGCTTTATCAGTGCCCCCACCATTCTGTGAGTATGCACAAGTGAGGTGAGTGGTAAGCACAGCACTTGTTAAAGAGCATTGACTACACTTCAATCCTAACGTGAAACCAAAGGGAAACCATTAACAGCATTTCCTCTGATTTCTCCATCCCTAATGGTGCTGAACAGGGCCCGGCTCTCAGTCACTAGCAAGCTGAGGACCAAGCCCTCTGCTGTGTGAAGTCAGCAGGAAGCAAGTGCACAGGAGCGTGAAACAGTTTGCAAAGAGACCATTCGAGAAGAGCGGAAAAGAGTTTGTGAACAGGGCCTCCCCTGGTGGCGAAGGCGGCTGAGCGCCACGCTGTGAAGCTGTCCACAGCCTCTGCAGTGCTGGTTCGATCTTGGCCCAGCCACCCGGCGAGGGTCCCACAACTGACAGGAGCAGAGGGGAGCAGCCAGCACTCCCGGTTTAATCCTTCCCCGCTTAGGAAGAGCCACTTACCTTCTTCAGCACCACAAACTCATTCTCAGCTGTGGCTCTGAGGACCACCTCTTCTTCATACCTGCAGGGAGAGCACAGGACAGGTCTGGTGCTGAGGGCCAGGGTGGGCCTGCAGAGCGCTACACAGTCAAGTCTCCCTCATTCTGCCTTGGGCTTTCTGTGTGCCTTGGGAGAAGTTAGGCCTCTCTGGACTTCTATTTCTCAGGCACAAAGAACCCTCCAAAAGGTCCCTGGGTGTGGACTCCAAGTCCCTGCTTTCTGATCCAAGTTTGGGCTGATCCAAGTTTGCTGTAAAACCCAGACAGTCATCTAATCACTCTGCACCTTGTGTTACAGTGCCTGGGTGCAGTAAGGCCTTGGCCAATGTGTGTCAGGTGAATGAAGGGCAGATGCCCCATGTGACCTGCCAACCCTAAAATTGTATAGAACATAACTAACGCTCCATGTAGCTAGCCTGCGACATTCTCTTCCCCTCCCCAACATCCAAGGACTTGAATTCCTGGAAGCAACACACTATGCCAGGCCTGTGAGCCGAGAGCATTTTCAGAGCCCTCCTCCACTGTGGAGGAGGCTGGCCCTGCTCCTCTGTGCTGTGAGGTGTCATCCCTGGAGCAGCCCAGCCTGGGCCAGCTAGGAAGGCCAGAGTTCCCAGAACATGGTTTTCGCAAGGCTTTAATGACAGGGTAATTTGGGCTGCTATAAACCCTGAGCTCTATAATTACTGGCCTTCATGCCCCCAGTGTAGGAGTAAGTCCTTAACACCTGCACACTGAGAATTATGTCTGCATTTGCATCACCCTCGGGGGGGTGAAACCTCTTTGCTGGGTCCACTTGCATGATACAGCTCGGACTTCCAAGACCAGAATTCCAGTGACTTCAAATTAGAATTGCCAGGACTGATCATTCAAAATCATCCTCATTCTGTAGGTACCAGGTAAAGAGGAACAAGTTAACAGTGACCTGCTGAGCCATAAACCAGGCCGTGGCCAACTAAACAATCTAAACTAGAAGATTTACTTGGGCCTTTGATTGCAGAGGTGGCAGAACAAGAGCTAGATGCTTTATCTGCAGAGTGAATAAAAGAATTGTCCAGATCCACCAGATGCCTTGAACGGCTTTGGCTAGTTCATCTCCAGGAACTTCCTGTCCACCCAGCCTAGCTCGGCCCACTCCCAAGTTCTGCTCCTCAACCCTGTTAATCTGTTTGTTGCTTCTTTCACTCCATCTCCAGGTCATCCTGTACCCGGATGTGTGTCCCCTCCCCCCAAAATGGGAGCTCATCTCCAAATCGTTCTCCAATTCTGGGATGGGGCTATAAGAGCTGGGAACTGAAACTAGGTGACACATCTTAGAAGCAGCCTGGAATGACCCTAACCTTCAGCTACCTCTGCCTCCAGGAGAGTCGTATGCACCCAGTCAGACCCACCCCAGTCTTGTGACCACACCTAACCCTGCCACACTCACTTCTTCTTGTAGCCCTCCAGCACCTCCTGCACGTGGTTGAGCTCGGCGGCCAGGCGCCCGCTGTCGGCCTCCACGCACTCGGCCTCCCGCCTCAGGGTCTCGATGTAGCCGTTGAACAGGGGCTCCAGGTTGCTTTTGCAGCAGCGCTGGTTCTGGTAGAACTGCCACTTGGTCTCCAGCAGCTTGTTCTGCTGCTCCAGGAAGCGCACCTGTCAGGGGGGTGGTAGGAGAGACTCATGGGGAGCCCAGGAAATGACCTGATCCCCCAGAGCTCTCTCTGCCCTTGGGAGTGGCCTCTGAACTGCAACAGCCAGTGACCTGCCTCTGAAAGTCAAATCTTTTGGCAGAATCTGAAAGTGTGGGTCACAATTGTTCCCCAAGTAACTTCTGCTCACCCCATTCCTTCTCCCAGAAAGTGCATGCAATTTACAGTGATTTGTTTATTTTACAAAGAATAAAATAACATCTGATTGGCAGAAATGCCCCTGACCATGTGGGTAGGACAAAACTGGCCACTCAAGGATGTCCACACCCTGCTTTCTGGAATCTGTGGATGTCACTTGATGTGGCAAAGAGACATTGCAGATGAACTAAGGCTAATGGACCGGAAGATCAAGAGAGTAACCGAGATGATCCAGGCGGTGCCCACGTGGCCACATGGGCCTCCAGAGGGGAAGAGGAAGGCAGCAGAGTGAGAGATGCTCAGGAGGAGGCAGAGGAGAGACTTGAGACATGAGGAGGACACAGTCACCGGCTTTGAAGAAGACAGAAGAAGGGGCCACGGGTCAAGGGGTGCCAGCAGCCTCCAAAAGCTAAGAACAACAGTCAGCCGGCAGGGAACAGGGACCTCAGCCTCACAGCCACTCAGTCCAGCTCGAAGCCTAAATGTCCTGGAAATTTGTCTCCCCCAGGGTCTCCCAAAATAAGTGCAGTCCTGTCTACACCTTCATTTCACCTTTATGAAATAATAAGTGGGTGCTGTTTTGAGCTGCTAAGTTTGTGGGTGCATTTATGGCAGAGATTTAAAAATGAACTCACCATGACTCTCCCTCACCCTGATCCTGGGGTGCAGAAGCCCAGGAGGGGGCCTTGGGCCAGGGGCTAGAGCTCTTACTGTCTCACTCTGCTACCAACCAGCCCACTGTGCTCCCTTGTCTCCGAACACCGTTGTGAGCCCAGTGAGCAGAAACAGGGCCTGGGTTTTAGCCCCTAAGCACACCTTGTGCAGGAATCACCGGCGTAGCACCCTGCTTCTCGTTGCCAAGGGAAGGAAAGGTGGGCTCGGACGGCCACGACATGCTAAGGGAGGCTGCTCAGCCCCTCTTCTTGCAGACACTGCTGTCTGGTGGGGGTGTCTGAGAACACAGCTCCCACCCACCCTCTCCCAGCTTTCACCTTCTTGCAAAGTCCCAGGTGTGACCACGCACACCAGTCAGCCTTGGAAAATAAGCCTTGCCCCTCTTGGACCCCAAAGATTTGATCGCCAGCTGTCAGAGGGCACATCACAGAGTCCATATGTCCAGCCAGAAGGAAATGTTAGGGACTCCATCGTCAGCAAAACGCAGTTCAACAGCCCCTCCACGGGCCTCCCTTAAGCTCTCAACTCGCTGTCTTTAATCTACATAAGTGTGGGTGAGGGGGTGCCTGGGGTTGGGAGCCCTAGGAGTTCACAGCCCCCCATGATGTCCCTGCCAGGAAGGGGCAGGAAGGGAGCTCCTGGCCCCTCTCACCTGGCTCCCGTCTCTGTGCTGGGAATGGTGGTGTCTCTCTAGGCAGGAAGTGAGACACACCTAAGTGGAGGTGCCCACCCCACCCGTACCCCCTTTTGTGTGAAGGGGTCACAGACCCCAACATTCAGCTTCTGTGTGGCAGGGAATGCAGCAGCGATAACCCTTCCAGTTGCGTCTGGTGAGTGCATCCATTCCTGCATTTGACTGGAAATCCTAGACCCCAGTTGAGCCACATTCTCAAGGCCACATGCAGATCCGGGACTCCGGGAACTTGAACCCACTCTGCCATGGCCTCCCGGTCCCGTGCCCAGGGAGTAACTCACAGACCCACCTTGTCGATGAAGGCGGCAAACTTGTTGTTGAGACACTTGATCTGCTCCTTCTCCTCATGCTTCACGCACTGCGCGTTGGGGTCGATGTCCAGGTTGAGGGGCGCCAGGAGGCTCTCATTCACGGTCACGGTGGTGATACAGGGCGGGCTGGGTCCACAGAGACCTCCTGCCCGGTACCCAAAGCTGCCCCCGCTGCGAAGGGGCCGCCTGCAACTCACCGCGATCCTCGGGGACCCCACTGCGCACAGGCTCCGGCTGCCGAAGCCCCCGAGCCGCCTGTAGCCCGGCCCCCCCGGACTGCCCCCACAGTAGGCCCCGGCGCTGGAGCAGCTGCGAGCCCCAGGCTTGGGCACAACCGCCGAGCAGGAGCTGAAGTCCCTGGGCCCGCAGCCGGGGCTGATGCGGTAGGAGCGGCTGGCCATGCCTCTGCCGTGGGGGTGCAGGGCAAGCGGCCCTCCTGCCTTTTATCAGGCAGACGACAGGCCTGCAGACGACATAAAAGGCAGGAGAAAGTTATTAACACCCTTTATGAGCGTGGGAATCTCCCGCTAGGCACACTGAGAAGAAAGCTGAGACTTGCCTCCTTTAATAGGCATATCAAGGAGACCCTGTATCAAAATAAACCCCTGCCCTGCCTTCCCCCGCAAGCCTCGACAGATCTACTCAGCCCCTAATTCCCCTCCAGCCTGTGAGTGCCCCGGGGCTGTCTATCCCACAGGAGCCAGCAGAGGCCCGGCCGGCACACGACTGAGACTCTAGGGGTCCCCCCTCCCACGAAGGTCCCCCCAGACCGTCCTTGCAGGCAGGTCACTTAGCGACCCCCTAAGTCCGTGAGGACGCCTGACCCGTCCTTCCCAGTGAGCACCTGTGGAGAGAGACTCTTCAAGCCTTTCCGTGTTCTCGTAACCGCATCCCTCCTGGGGCTAGAGCTGAAAGGACCGGGCAGCGTGGCCCTCGGGGCCTTTGTGCTGAGGTGGGACATGACCTCGCGGGCGAGATGACCACACTGGTGGCTGCCTGGAAATCAGACTGCAGGAGACAACTGTGAAAAGAGCAGAAGGGCCGGGGTGGGGAGAGGGGGGTCTTACTGTCTCCGGGAGAAGCCCTGGTTGGTATGTGCAGTGACCAGCTTGGGAGGGTCAGGGATTTGAAACACAATTGCCTCACAGATTGGATTCTTGATGGGATAGCAAAGGAGGAACCAACGGTGTCTCCACACTTTGTTGTGGGTTAAACTCCCCCACAATGGGAAAATAGCAGTGGTCAGGGAGGAGAATGCCAAAGCGGGTGGCCCAAATGCTTGTTGGAAATCCTGTAGAGTCCATCACTCCACTAAGCACAGGATCAGAACAGGAGATAGAGGGATAGATAGTCTGGGGTTGGGTAGATAAATAGATAGATAGATAATAGATAGATAGACACTGCAGACATAAGCATGTATCACTTTGTCAGCACCACACAAGTTTCTATGAAAACTCTCTCAATCTCTTTTCTGGGAGACGTGGTGCAGTCTCCAAGCTATCTTGCCAAGCAAGGCACAAGTCTGCATCAGAAAAGAGCAAAAGAAGGATAACGGTGGCAAAGAGCAGAGCCAGCTGCCCTGCCCTAGTAGTGCAGCCACCGCCGGGCCCGCAGACCCTCGGATCACAGCCACCGCGCTCACTGAGGACAGCAACAGGACAGCCGTGCAACGCGCTCAGCACAGCGAGTCCTTAAATGACCTCGGTAAATGGTCACTTTTGCTGCTATCTCTGCCTTGGTCCCCAGGCACCTCAAGCCACGTGAACTCAAGAACAGCACAGACAATGGTGTCCTTAGGAGGGTTCAGCTTCCAGTACTTTCTTAAACTGGAGACATGGGGCTGCTGGTGAGCCCAGTGGGTGTGGCTGGCTGGCTGCCGTACAGGCCTCGAGCTGTCCCTGTCGATCTGCATAGGAAGACCAGGCTCTCTGCAATGTGGTGCCACCGTCTGCTGTTGGCGTATCTTCTCTTCCAGATGGGCCCAGGGCTTCAGACCTGTGGAGCACAAGCTGGGCCTGGATGGCGTCCTAGTCAGCCCAGCAGCACACCCGGTGGCATCGTCTGCACACAACCGTTGTGGGTAGGCTGCCGATGACGGGGCTGCTGGGCGCATGTCCCCGAGTCCCTGCTGGCTCTCACTGGTTCTGTCTCCCTACCTGGATCCTGTTCTTCATCATCAATGATTTCTGCATTGTTGGCATCACCACCTCTGCCATCAACGTGGGGCTGATGGTGCTCAGAAACCCTCAGGCAAGACTAAGGGCCTCTGAGCCCTCACCCCAAGCCAGGCGGGCCTCATCTGCTGTGCTTTGGCACAGGAGCTTAGTCCCAGGGCCTCCTGTGGGTCTCAGAAGACTTTCCATCCCTCCCCCACCGTCCTCCCACACACGGCAGTGGGCCAAATACACCAGGCTTGTTCTTTCACCCTAGGGCCTCCGACGCTGACCCCAAGAACTGGCCTTCCGGGCGCTGCCATTGCCCAAGGAGGAAAGTAATAAATTAAAGCTCGCTAGGCAGATGGCAGTCAGATAGCTGGGCTCTTCCTAAGCGTGACACAACTTTCCCTTGGATTTCACTGCGGAGGTTTCCTACCGCAGGCTAGAGCCCTGCTTCTGAGATGCTTTCAAGCTGGTGAAACCTACTAAGATGGGCAGAGAACAGAGAGCTCAGTGAGACGAAGAGCCTGGCACCAGGACGATACGGGGCGGAGTCCGTTACAGCCCGGCTCCTGGGAGGCAGAAGCAGGGCTCCCGGGACACGGGGCCGCCAGAAGGACGTGGCACCCACAGGGTAAGAAGGAAGAGTAACGGGGGATCAATTTAGAGTTCCTTGCCTCTGGCAGGGGAGGAGACATGGACTCCATCTGGCTTTTAGCGTGAAGTAGCTTCTAGAACACAGTGAGGCAGAGGTACAGTAAACCAGGATGTTCGCGGTGTATCGAATGAGGAATGGGAGATTTGGTGGGTTTCTCCTGGGGCCCCAGAATTACAGCCAGTCCCAAAGCTGAGCCCAAAAGGGACTCTAATGTCCCCCCAAGTTCTGAGAGAGCCACACATTGGGCCAGTCACCACCCTTACAGTCACAGGCCGTAAAGGCAGCTGGGAAGGCAGCGAGAAGGAGGGGCCACAGAAGGCAGGTGCTAAAAGTGGCAAAGCGGCACCAGTGCTGGGGACCTCACAAGAATCAACCCTCAAAAAACAGACTCAGGGCCACCCCCTAACTTCAGAGGCTGCTGTGGAGACTGCTGCCCCCACGATCTGTCATCTGGGTAGGTCCTGCTTGATAATCCTGACTCAACATATGTGGCAAATCTTTAAAAATTAAAAAAAAAAAAAAGGCTCCTGTGCTGTCTGTCATGGAACAGCGAGCCAGGCCAGGGGGTGGCGCAGGGGTGGTTTGAACAGAGCTTTAAAATAAAATTCTGCAATAAATCAAGCGTGGTAGCGAAGTGTGGAATCCAGCCTAGATTGTTCCAGCTACGATGGCTGTAATGAGCCACCTGAAACTCAGCAGCTTTCACAACCAACACATGATTTACTGATGAACCTGTCGTCTGGCAGAGACACGTCAGTTCCGTCCTAGCTGCTTCTTCGCATCCAGGTAGCACCCGGGATGTGCAGTGTCCAGACTAGCGGCCATCCCCTCTCTGCTTCTGGAGGGACACGTGGGTCAAGACAACACCCAGAGGATGTCGAGGGGACCCCAGCCCGAAGAGCCAGCCCTGTGAGGAGTCCTGTGAGGAGCAGCTTTGGAGTCTGTCATGGCGATGGGGAAGGGTGGAGACACGTGAGTCAGCTGTGCCTACAAGAGCTGGGGGAGGCGCGCGGGGGGAGTGGCGGATGCCGGGAGGTGACCCAAAAGGCCGAGGACAACCGGTGGGCTGAGTGGCAGGCTCGGCTTTGCGCGCTACATCACGGCCATTTCCAAGACCGCCTAAGCTGGCGCATGAGACAGAGAGGCAGCTGGTGGGGCATGAAACCCTCCCGAGTTCCCCAACCGCAGCGCTTCAGAGGCTGGCCAGAGAAGAGGGAATTTTACAAACAGGAAGAAAGCTTGGCCCAGAAACATTCATAATTACCCCTTTCCTGTCTCTTCCAGGAGCTCATCCAGTTACATCACACCCCCATGATGTACAATTCATTTCAGGGATCCAAAACCTGAACTCTGTGACTCAGAGAAGTCTTTGTGGGGGTGTGACTCACCGCTCTGCTTCAGAAGTGCCGAGAAAAGATGCCCCTGGACAGCCAAGCTATTCCCACTAGGGGGCACCCTCGCCTGGCTGCAGAACGCACCCAATGCAAACATGGAAGAAATTTTTCTGCCTCCAGGAAGCCTTCCTAGGTTGATCAACACAAAGTGTGGCTTCCCTGGCTCCTCTTTGCCTGGATTTTTCACTCTCCCAGCAGCTTTCCTCCATGTCCTCAGCCAGTGTACCCCCCTGGGTAGCCACCATCCCCACATGTCAACTTCCTAACAGATCTTGGATCCACACCAGTCTGTCCACCCCTGGTCCATCCTATGCCTTGTCAGTTTTAATTCCCTAAAAAGCCACTGCCAAGGAACATCTACCCAGATACCAAAGGCTCAGCCAAAGACAGCTGAAGACTGGTCCCACCTGAAAACTGGTCCCAACTAAACTCCCAAATTCATCTCCTAAGTTCTTAGCACTTCCTCTATTTTACTTCTGATAATTCTTTCAGACCTCCTGAGAAGTTGAGTCCATCACACTCTCCAGCTCTTGGCACAGTGTCCTCATCAGCCACCAGAAGTCCCCTCTGTTCATTCATCTGTCCTCTTCATTTCTTAGCTCTCCTCTCACTCTCCTCCCCAAAGACACCAGCCGTGAGGAGTGTGATGTTGTTCCCAAATAGGCATCATCACTATAAAGTAAGTAGCATTGCTTTCAGCATGCGTGAGTTTTATTTACATAAATGGTAAGATTTTGACCTTTTATTTTTAACTCAACACCACACTGCCTAAAGCAACTCTGTTGCTTTGAGCTTCTGCATTCTGTTCCATAATTTGCATTTATAATTTTTACCTACCTCTGTCCGATCTATGGTCATCTAGGTTGCCTCCAACTTCCTTCTGCCACAAATAATGCCGTGATGGATCGTCCTGCCCGGGCATGAGAGCGCTGCCCTCAGGTGTGAGGCTGAATCTCTCTGAGCAGTGGGGTCGCGGGGGCATTGAGTTTGCACATGCCAGAAGTCACCGCCTGATGGCGCGCTGCTTTCCAGAAGGCAAGTCGTGACATCAAATACCAAAGGCGAGCTACACCTGCCCAAGCTCCCACCCCCAGTTCACAAAGGCTCCTACCCTCTCACCTTTCCCCCCGGCAGTTGGTAGCACCCCTTTTCTTACCCTGCCCATTCCAGTGGTAGAAATCCACCCCTTGTTCTGATCTGCATCTTTGAAGAACCGATGAGTCAGCTTCTGTTCATGTACTTGTTAGTTGTTGGTCTTCCCTCTGAGGAGTTACCTGCGCAGAATTTGCCTCTCTTTATATAGGGGTCCCCACCTTTTACTTGCTGTTCGCAGGAACTCCTTATATACTATGGATATTAAGCTTTTCCTAGTCTATCAACAGTCTGTTAACTTCTTTCTCTGTATTCTTTCTTGGAATTCTTAATTTTGATATTTTTGTTTTGACTTTTAAGCTTTCAGCCCACCCCTATGACACAAGGATACCCTCTCACATATTCGTTGGCTTGCTTTACAGTTTTATTTTCGTCTTCAGATCTGAGATCTCTCATGATATATGATATAGTCTGGACTCCAGCTCCACACACACACACACACACACACACACACCCATGGTGAATCTGTTTTTACCAATCTCACCCACTGAATAAATGGCCCTGTGCTGGCAGCCCTGACATCAAATACCAAGTTCTCTGTTGTGTTCCAGGGGCCGATCTACCTGGTCCTGCACAAACACTATCCTTTTTTCCTTCTGTGACTCACTAGTCCTCAGACCCTCTTTTTGCTTCCCTTTTTCACCTGTGACTTTACTTGAAATTGACTTGAGTCTTTCATATAAACTTAGATTGATTTTACCAAGTCCCTCAAAAGAAAACCAGCTAGAATTTTTATTGCATTTGCATGAAATCTATAAATTAATTTAGAAAGAATTTATTTCTTTAGAATATAATTCCATTCATCAGACTTTCTTGCATGTCTTTTTCATAAGAGTCTAGCATTGTTTCCCATAAAGATCTTGTGAATAAGTTATATCATAAAACTTCATTGGTTTCACAACTCTTAGAAGTGGTATATTTTTTCTATTTATTTTTCTAATTGGTTGTCACTGATCTAGAAAAACATTTGGCTGTCTGCAAGCTCACCTCATGACTAGCACTCAGCTCATTCTGTAATTTCTATAGTTTATCTGTTGACTATGGTGGGTTTCTTATACAGCTGATCCCATTGCCTGAAATTTTTCTCTTCTCTCCTAATCTTACACATATTTCTCAAAGCATGCCTTAGAGACAAGAGTCCTGGTCTTGCTCCTGACCTTCACTAGAATGTGTCCGAGTTCCTCCTGTGGGTTCGATGCCCTCTAAGCTCCACCAGTGGGCATCCACCGCCTTTTGAACATTCCTTTGTTTTTCTGCCATTCTCTGCCGGAACTGCCTCCCAAGCCCATCCCATCCTTCAAAGCTGCTCTCAAGTCTGACTCAGCAAGCCTCCTTGATTGCTCCAACTCACAGAGAGCGTCAATCAATTGACAATCAATCACGAACCACCTCAAAAAACAACTCTATCAACTATCCATTTAATTCATGCAGAGTTACAAACCTACCCACCTTAGCAGTCAGCTCTTTCAGAGCAAAGCCTGTGTATTAAACATCTCTTCCTCACCTGTAATACCTACTACCTGTTTAATAACCAGTCGAGAGTGTGGGCAGGTGCCACGTTTTACCAGCCCCAGCACATAGGCCACGGTATGTTGTGAGTTCAAGGTCAGAAGGCAAAGCCAAAGGCATCCAGGTTCTCTAACAAAGGCAAGCAAAGGCCCTGGGGTTCTCCACCCAGGTAGGAGGTGGACGCAGAGTCAACCTTCCCTGCTTGCACATACACTACCTCATGTCAACTTCACGGAGGCCCAGGAGGCCAGTAGTCAGCTCTCCTTTTATAGATGAAGGAAGAAGATGCAGAAAGATTAACTAACTTGACACACGGCCAGTGAGGCGCGGAAATGCAAGTAGCATCCATGCTCCAGGCCCCAGGCCTGGCGCTGAGCACAGCAGCCCCCACACGGACACATCACGGCCACAGCCAGACAGCACATCCTGACCCCGGACAGCCTCCTGGACCCGGCAATTTCACTTCCAGGATGTATTTTGAGGAAATTAGTGGAGAGGCACAAGAAGGTATATTTGGGACTACTCTTCCAAAAGAGTTATCATAAATCCATGAATGTGTAGTGGACCCACAGACCCTGGCAAGAAGAAATGACAAGAGTCCAAGCACCAGTGGGCCAGAAGCCAGGCAAACAGGCAGGGGCCTCCGGGGAGACACAGAATAATGATGGAGACCAGATCGATGGGGAGGGAGCAGCAGTCAGGACCAGGACGAGGGGCAGGTGACTGTTCTGGGGAGCAGGACAAGTCAGCCCCCAGGCCCACTTGGGCCAGCTGCCTGAGGGGAGGCCACAAGGCACAGGCAAAAGTCTTGGGACTGCCTGGAGCCTTTGGAACCACTGCTAGGGCGAGAGCCGAGAGCCGAGAGCCGTGCGGCCCGGAGCCCGGGGGTAGGAGGAGGCTGCCAGGTGGCTGCCACTGTCCCTTTGTCAGCTTCCTGTTTTCAAGGGGCTTACCCTCTGTAATTCTCTTTGTTCTGAGCCATTTACTAATAGCAGCTCTAATTAAGGCTTTCTGGGGTGACATGATTGCCTTGTAAAGCTGCGGGCTGTTTTCTGTTCAAGCAAGATGGCATCTCACAGCCCATCACACCAGCCCTTTGCAAGGCTCTGCGCACTGCAGCTAACCCAGTCTGGTCACCTTTTAGTGGGGGGATGGGGGGACACCTCCCGCCACCAGACACACCCTTAATCCTCCCAACAGCCAGGCAAGGCATTCCCTTCATGATTTACAGGTAAGGAGACTGGGGAAACATCACTATCCAAGGTCTCTAAGCTGGTAGTGCAGAACTGGGCTTCAGATCACACACTTTCATCTCCGGAGTCCACATTTCCAGCGTCTTCAATCAGGACAGGGACCCGGGCACACCCGTGGCTCCCTCAACCCCAGGAGATGGATGTGTCTCCATAGAGACCCCGGTGAAGGGGCCAACTGGACACCGGGTCCATGGTTGAGTCGGGCAGGTACAGGGCAAGGATGGAAATGCTGCATGGAGGACCTGCCTGGCATCATCCCTCAACATCCTAATAGAAAAGCCACCTCACATGAGCTCTGGATATGCACTCAGAACCTTCCAGGTGCTCCCCAGTTCTGATGTACATTGAGATGAGAGAAAAGACAGACCTGGCAGCCGTCTGGCCCAGCAAATATTAGCATGAAACTACCAACCAAACACACCTCCTGAGAAGTGCTCTCAGAATCCCATCGGCTGCCCAGCTGGAGCCAGTCTCCCCAGCCCCATGCCCTTGTCTCCTTGTAACTACTGCCCAGCAGCCCCTCAGCCACGGTCCAGGGGGACCCTCAGAGCTCCCAGCCCAGACACGGAGTCTGTGGGAATCTGTTCCTAAGGCCCAAGAGCTCCTCTCTGTCACAATCCATGACAGATCTCCATCACCTGCCTCCCCGAAAAAGAGGGAATGTAACTGCCCTGCACGCCCTGCGAGGGGACAGGGAGGGCAAAAGGTAAGGCCAGCTGGAAGGCGTGGAGGGCTATTCTTAGCCTTGACTGGGTCAGCGCTGGGCTATGACTGGTCAGGAAACAGGTCCATTAGTGGAGTCATCCTTAGACACAAAGGCAGTCAGGAGACTTGGGCTTGGAAGGGTTTATAGACTCAGTTTTCAGGTTAGAGCAATCCCCTGGCTCAGCCGCACAGCCCATCTACCAAAAGCATCATTGCTCCAAGCCCAGGAGATGAGGGGCAAAGTCAGAGGGCTTGGCTCAGGGCCAGCCACAGCACCCCCACCTGCTCTCACCCTGGGGGTCCTCTAAGGGGAGGAAGTGACGCCATCCCAGAAGCCTTGTGATCGCCCCCATCTCAAGAACCTTCCATGTGTCCTGGTGGGTGTGCGCACACCAATATTTCTTATTCAACTTCCCTGCTAGGAACCCCCAGGGCTCCCATACCCACACATCAGACCCCTACTCCTCAGCCTGGGCCTCCCAGGGCCTTCCCATTACCTGTGGCTTCTGCCCCTGCCTCCTGGCCAAATGCTGGCCCCTCCTTGTCCATGCCACCCTCTCAGATACCTCAGTCATCTGCTGGATCCCCAGAACCTAGAAAGTACCAGGGTATGGCTGGTACTCGATAAGTGTTTGCTGGATGATTGAGAGAATAAATGATTCCATATACCCTCATCTCTAAATCAGAGCTAGGTGCATTTCTCATCTCCTCCGAATCCATTCACAGGCAATCCTCCTTAAAGCCACTTCCAAGAAGCCTTCCTTTAATCCTTGTACCTTTGGGCTGGTCCACACTCCCACTCCTGCCCCCGGTCCACTAGTAATGATGCCCAAGACTCTGAAAAATGGCCCTAGTTCTGTCCTGAGCTCTTCGACTCAATTTCTCCCATGTCCCCGCTGGTATCCCACAACTTCTGCATCCCCAGGAATACCCACAGTACAGGAAACGTGTCCCTCCCGAGTTATACCACCCTCCACCCTATGTCTGCTGGGCTCTCGGATTGACATGCTTCAGAGATGAGAGGAAGGCAAAGAAGCCAAGAATAAAAGGATTTGGGGGACACAGTCTTCCTTGGAGCAGATCAGACACTGCATCCCAAGGCCAGGCCATAGGTCCAGGGCAGGCTGTGTGCATTCCAGAACAGGAATCCGAGAACAGGCTCCACCCTGGTCACTGCACCCATCCTTTGCACCAGAGCACAGAGTCCAGCTGAGGCCTCCAGGGGGCTTCTCCCTTCTCCATTTGCCGCAGCAATGGGAGGGGGAGAGGTGATAGCCTAGGAAGCCTGTAAAGGGCTTTGAAGATGAAACAGGCCTGTGGCCAGTGATTGTTGACACAACTACACTGAAGAGGCAAGCCGGGTTGGCTCTTAAGAGGCCAGAGTGATGCCAAGCCAATAAAATGCAGCTATTGTCTCTTTGCTGCCCCTTTTAACACCAGCTACCCTGGTGCATAAAAGGGCCTGCAAAAGCTCAGGGAGCACAGGCCTTTGGCTCCATTCTCTGCCAGCTTCTCCACTGTTCGGATACCACCCTACGTCCAGCATGACTTGTGGCTTCAGCTCCATGGGATGTGGATTTGGCGCCAGAGCCTTCAGCTGCGCCTCCGCCTGTGGGCCCCGGCCCGGCCGCTGCTGCATCAGTGCCGCCCCTTACCGCGGCATCTCCTGCTACCGCGGCCTCACCGGGGGCTTCGGCAGCCGCAGCGTCTGCGGGGGTTTCAGGGCCGGCTCCTGCGGCAGCAGCTTCGGATACCGCTCTGGCGGCGTGTGCGGACCCAGCCCACCCTGCATCACCACCGTGTCTGTCAACGAGAGCCTGCTCACCCCCCTCAACCTGGAGATCGACCCCAACGCGCAGGGTGTGAAGCATGAGGAGAAGGAGCAGATCAAGTGCCTCAACAGCAGGTTTGCTGCCTTCATCGACAAGGTGAGTGTCCTTGATCACACCCTTCCTGAACCCCACGTGTTCAGGACTCTGGGCACTGAGCAGGGAGTCAGAGGCAAGTCATTGCCTATTTAGAGCTCCCGGTCCAAGCCAAGGCAGCCATGCCTGTGGGACACAGACAAGGACAAGAATGGGATCAGGAGAGGAAGAAGACAAAATGAAAACATAGAAACAAAACGAGGGGTAGAATCTTTAGCACTGAGCAATAACATCGCCTCGTGAGCAAAAGAGTGGGTGTTATGTGGATGCTCAACACCTCTGAAGCCAAATAACCTTTTATACATCCAGGACGTATTCCCTATGCCAGGGGCAGGGTTAGTGGGTGAGCTGCTAGCGATTGCCAGGAGGAACCTCAGGGATCACGAAGAGTTGTTTATATACGAAGTGGTTACTTGTCTGCTGTGCTAGGGCAGAGAGCTTTGTCCAAGGGGTGAGCAGCACTGCCCCCCACCCCGGCCTTACTGAGAGGCAGGACGAGGCTGAGACCACCTGCAACTGTCAGAGTCCACTAGAGGCTGCAGTTACAGTCTCCGTGGGGCCATCGCGTGGTGGTTCAGGAGCCTGGGAGAGCCAGCCTTGAAAGAAGTCACACTGGGTGACACTGCCCACCGGGAGGGACCCAAAAAACCAGAGACTCCCAACAGCATGAGTGACCAAGGACAGCATAAGAAAGGACTTACCAAGGGTGGCAAGTTAGTTGACAAAGGATGTCAGTGCAGGAGTGAGCCGACCCCGTGGCGGGCAGAGAGATGTGAAAACCCCTGGGCTTCATAGTCTGCAAGTATTAAAGAGAGAGGAGCGCCCCCCACAGGCAGGCAGCAGAGCCAGAGTTCTTCCTCCGCCCCTTGAGACCTCAGGCCGCAGGCGACCCCCCGGCCTTGGATTCTGCATCTGTCACACAAGGGCTTGGAAATCAGAGCATCTCTGCACTCCTGTCCCAGGGAGCTATTCTCTCAATTGCGTTGTTGTTATAGGGTTTCGATAATTGGCACCTGCTTTATTTTTCAACTTTTACAACCTGCCTTTCTGAAAAGGTTGGCCTGTGCTCTCTTGGGTGCTAACAAGCACACCCACCCCGGCGCAGCGGCTCTTCTGCGTGCAGGCGCCTTTCATGCCAGGGCTTGTTAAACCTTCAGAGGGAGGTGCGCGCTCACCTCCATACTCTACAGAGGGATCAGTGCTGAGTCCAAGGGCACATTGCAAACAAGTGGCAGTAGAGTCTGGACTCGGCGTGGTTTAGCACTTTCCATGACACTTAATAAATAAGTCACCCTAGAATAAATCGAGGTTAGCGCTCAGGGAGGACCTACAGCGGGAGCTGACTCAGCCCTGGTGTGGCCAGGAGGGAGACGACATAACCCCATAGGGAACACTTTGGGTCGGAGAGGTGGGTCCTGTGGGTCCTGGGGTGGAGACCTCCCTCTTGCCCTTGACCCTTCAAGAAGGGATGCTCAGGCTCTGCCTCTGGGCTGCAGGTGCGCTTCCTGGAGCAGCAGAACAAGCTGCTGGAGACCAAGTGGCAGTTCTACCAGAACCGCCAGTGCTGCGAGAGCAACCTGGAGCCCCTGTTCAACGGCTACATCGAGACCCTGAGGCGGGAGGCCGAGTGCGTGGAGGCCGACAGCGGGCGCCTGGCCGCCGAGCTCAACCACGTGCAGGAGGTGCTGGAGGGCTACCGGAAGAAGTGAGTACAGGAAGGAGCTGGCTCAGGAGAGGTCTTAAAGGAAGTTTCCAGCACTGGGGAGTGTCTGGGCCTGTGCAGGTCTCTGAGTAAAGACAGGGAAGCAACTGCACCCCTGCCCTTCTCCAAAGGACCCCAGGGGATCTGGCTGCCCCAGGGGATCTCACCTTGCCCTCCTCCTCCTCAGGGGGATGATGGTGTATCCCTGTCTCTATCTACCAGACCCTTTTGTTAGGACCCCAGAAAAACCATTCTTGGTCCCCTCGAGTCTAGCCATCAAAGCCCTGGACATTGTTCCTAAGTTGATTCCTTCACTCAGCTACCAGGTGCCAGTCAGACACAAGTCTGGGTGCTAACAATCCAGAGACAAGTGCATTCTGGGCATAGAGTCTGCTGGGAGGCAGGCGCCATCCTCACAGATGGGCCTCCGGTTACCAAGTGTGACGCCTGATAGACAGGAGCACACCAGCTATTGGAAAGGAATCTTCCAGCTCCCTCAGTAACACTCTCAGCCATGGGCCCCACACCCCCAGCCTGGCCTCACAGAGCGGGAAGAGTGGTGGGCTCGTTGCCTCTTGACTGAGCCCAGGAGGGAACTGGGAGGATCCTAATACCTGTAGCAAGTCAAAGTCCAAGGGAAAGGAAAAGACAGGCCTGGGGAGAGAAACAGGGCCTAGGATTGCACTCTGCAATCCTAGACACACACACACACACACACACACACACACACACACGCACCTTCCAGATTCTGCCTTTCTCCTACTCCCAAAAAAGCTCAGAGGTAAGTAGAATGGCCACTTCCGTTCTCCAGCGTATCCCAGCAGGCCTGGGCTGGCAGCTTGATTTCTTTCTAGTCTTGCCCCATTTCAGAGGCAGGGGGTGAGCAAAGGGAGGTCTCCAAGCCAGGCTTGTCTGCTTGCATGCATCATTGCCCAATTAAGAGCTGCTCACTGGGGTCCTGTTCTCCCCGCCCCTCTCAGGTATGAAGAAGAAGTTGCCCTTCGGGCCACAGCAGAGAATGAGTTCGTGGCTCTAAAGAAGGTGAGTGTCTGAAGCCAAGCCTCCTCCCCACCCCCCGAGTCCCCGTCCTCTCTGCCCGTCACACTGCAGCAAACCCTCCCTGCACCCTGAGGGTAACTGGCCTCGCGGCCCTTTAAACCCACACAGGAGGTGGACTGCGCCTACCTGCGCAAGTCGGACCTGGAGGCCAACGTGGAGGCCCTGACCCAGGAGATCGACTTCCTGCGGCGAGAGTATGAGGAGGTGAGAGGGTCTCCGCCATGGCGCACCCCTGAATTCCTGCCCAGACCCCTTGACCATGACTGAGGCTTCTGACGCAGACAGGAGACACGGAAACCCAGGCTCAAGGCTGGAGGGCTGGGAGGGCCAAAGAGAAGAAGAGAGAGAGAGAAATGATGAGCCAAAAAGGGACCAGGCGAGCAAGGCAGGAGAGGGAGACCTCCAGGGTGGGCGCCTCAGGAAGCCACGCCACAGGCCGCAAGGCAGAGGGTGGCCACAAACCTGTTTCCCATGGCTTACATTTTCTCTGGCAGCCAATGTGCTTGGTCTAGGAGAATGAGAAGCACAAGGTCCAGGCCCCTAAGGTGCATCTGCGGGATGCTGGCTGGAGGGGCAGCCTGGTGCAAGTCCACTCCCAGGAGCGAGCATTTGAGATGTGGTTACATTTTCCTCTAAAAAGCAGATCTTATCTATACAGAAAGCTGTACAATTTCATCAGAGGATTTTTCTGCTCCAAACATGAGACTTTGGTTCATGTGAGCCAGAGATTACAGGCATTGGCAGTGAAGGGTAAGGAAACGTCGGTGAAACTTGGTTGTTCTGCCACTTCCCCCGCCCACAGGAGATCCGCGTTCTCCACGCCCACATCTCAGACACCTCGGTGGTCGTCAAGATGGACAACAGCCGGGACCTGAACATGGACTGCGTCATCGCCGAGATCAAGGCTCAGTACGACGACATCGCCAGCCGCAGCCGGGCCGAGGCCGAGAGCTGGTACCGCAGCAAGGTGGGCACCAGGGCCCCCCAACCCCGCAGGAGGGTCTCTGGAGGGCGCCCGCCTCCAGCTAGGGAGATGGGAGGCAGGTGGGCAAGCTGTGGGGCTCACAGGGGTAACGTGCCCTGAGCCTCCCTGCCTCTGCCCCCCCAGTGCGAGGAGATGAAGGCCACGGTGATCCGCCACGGCGAGACCCTGCGCCGCACCAAGGAGGAGATCAACGAGCTGAACCGCATGATCCAGAGGCTGACGGCCGAGGTGGAGAACGCCAAGTGCCAGGTACCGGCGAGCCCACCCTGGGTGCAGGAAGAGGCTAGGGTCAGCTTGCAGCAGAGGGATTCTGGAAAAGTCTTCCAAGAGATTCAGTTAAGTGCAGTCTCACAGGTGACAGAAGAGTGAAGAAGCCTGCTGTGACTTTCCTGATTCAGTGGGCATAGGGGGTGTGTGTGTGTGTGTGTGTGTGTGTGTGTGTGTGTGTGTGTGTTGGAGGAAGTGAGGTAGGATGGTAGCAAGCTAACTGGAGAAATAACCTCCAGGATAGAAGTGACTAGGATCTCAGGAAACTAAACTCACTTGCTCCTTCCATAATCCCCCCTTCTCCCTAGAACTCCAAGCTGGAGGCTGCCGTGACCCAGTCTGAGCAGCAGGGCGAGGCCGCCCTCAGCGATGCCCGCTGCAAGCTGGCAGGCCTGGAGGAGGCCCTGCAGAAGGCCAAGCAGGACATGGCCTGCCTGCTCAAGGAGTACCAGGAGGTGATGAACTCCAAGCTGGGCCTGGACATCGAGATCGCCACCTACAGGCGCCTGCTGGAGGGCGAGGAGCAGAGGTGAGGCCCAGCCCAGCTGCCCTGAGAGCTCTACATGCACACACCTCAGATTCCTCCCCATTCCAGTCTCAGTCCCAAGACCTGGCCCCACGCTACACACGAGGGCTTTTGGAGCCTAGTTCTCAGAGAACTGGAACTTGGACATAACATACAGAGAAAAATCAAAGCCAATGCCACTTTGATGTCTAGAATGCCAGAGAGTCTGGGGCCTTGCTAGGATTAGATCCTAGGCACCCTTCTCAGTTTAAAACATCCTCATTATTGCATCCTCAACTCTTCCAAGATCCACTCCCTGCATGGCTTCTTGGAGGTCACTCAGCCCTCGGGTAGAGATGCAGGCCAGGCTCCGACCCTGGCCTCTTGTCATTGCCCAAGGGGACCTTCCCCTTCCTGGTATGCCGGGTGTGGTTGTTCAGGCTGTGGACTACACAAGGACAACCAACTGAAGGGCAAGTGAGAGCTGAAATCCAGCGCATATTCTGTTTGCCAGAGAGTGCCCTGGCTCTGCTGCAACTGCAGGAAGGCACTTTTCTTAAGTTGCACAAAGACAAAGCACACAGGCCAGAAACGCCTCTGAGACAGCCCATCCCAGCACCCGGGGGAAATCCGAAGCGCTCATTCTGACCTCTTTCCTCTTCCCCTCTCTCGCCGTTTCCCCACTCAGGCTGTGTGAAGGCGTTGGATCCGTGAATGTCTGTAAGTATCTTAAACCCTGAGAAAGAAAAGCTTAGACTGAGCAACAAGACAGGACGGTATAGAGACCTGGGGGGGAGGGTTGCAGTAATTCCCTCAGGACTGGGAGTAGGTGGGGCTGTAGCAGGAGACACTGTAGGAAGAACCTCCAGACCACTTGAACCGGGCTGAGGAGGGGGAAATGATTAATGTCACTGCAGGAAGGGGCCTCAGCTGTCGCTCAGTCCACGCCACCCGGTGTTGGTGAGGAAACAGAGACCGGAGAGGGGGAGGAACTGGCCCAAAGTCAGAAAGCAGCAGAGCCAGCGTTGCAGGCTCCCAGGCTACGGTGCTCCCACGGCGGCAGACTGGTCTCAAGTCCCTCTGCCTCCTTCCCTAGCGGGCTGGACAGAGCAGAGAGGCCAAAGGAAGGTGGTAGGACGGGGCGCCCACCAGCCAGACCTCCTGACCCTTCCCTGTCCCCCCAGGTGTCAGCAGCTCCCGGGGCGGCGTGGTCTGCGGGGACCTGTGCGTGTCTGGCTCCCGGCCGGTGACCGGCAGCGTCTGCAGCGCGCCCTGCAGCGGGAACCTGGCGGTGAGCACCGGCATGTGCGCGCCCTGCGGCCTGGGGCGCTGCTAGGTGGCCGGCGAGAGAGCCAGAGAAGCCGTGCCACTGCCAGCCGCGCCGCTGCCCACCCCCAGCTGAAAGCAGCAGCCCCGGTAGCGGCCCCTCGTGTTCTGAGAATACACCACCTGCGCCTTCCCGTGCCAGCTCCGCTGCGCGCGCTCTCCTGGAAGGGGCTGTGGCCGGGCATGGGCATTCCCCTCCACCGGCTTGGCTGCTGGCGCCTGCCAGGGAGAAGGGCCTCTGCCCCGGGAAAGAGCGTGGCTGGAATGCCTCCCCCGCCTCTCTGGCGCCTTGTCTCCCATTCTGTGAATAAATTGTGGGATCCACTTTCTGTGCTGTGATGTTTTGCCTGCCTGGGGTCATCCTGGCCAGTCCTCCACCTGACACCCCAGCAGCGCTGACCTCCCCTGGCCGGCACTGCGACCAGGCCCCCGCACTCCACCTCCCTTCCACCTGTGGTGTGGACCCGGTCCTCAGATTGGTTCTGAGGGAAGCAGAGCAGGCTCTGGGATCCGGGGGAGGCAGAGCGTGTGTGTGCTTGCGCGCGTGTGTGCTTGTATGTGCGTGCGCTTGTGTATGTGTGTCTGTGGTTTTAGCCCTTTCTCACACACACACACACACTCACTCACACCTCTTCACTCTGCCCCACCACCCCCACCACACACACATCTATCACAGAGGCACCACCCAAAGTACCAGCAGCCACCTCGGGGGGGCCCCCCTGTTGTCCAGACCCCACCCTGCATTCCTGCTGCTCACATCACACAAAAGCAGATGAAACCTCTGCCATGTGCCCTTGTCCATCTATCTCCCTCCCACCCCGCGTGCACCACCTCTTCAGCCACCTGGGCAGCCTCCTGGAAAGCCCATGGCTGGCAAGACGCCATCTACTCGCTTTCTGGACTCCCCACTCATTGCCCTCATCCCCAGTACCTCAGAGCTGTGCTCCTCCCCTTGCCCATCCGCACTGCTGAGCGGTCAGAGGGCTCCAGGCAACCCAGGTCTGGCCATGCAGTGGGGCTGCACTGCCCTCAGGAGGGAGGGCAGACCCTTGACGCGGCATACCAGTTCTGCACATCAGCCTCAGACAGACCCCTAAGTGCCATCCCCACTCTCCGGCGACCCCCTCCTCCCTCCCCTGCTCTGCTCAAGGTGCCCCAAACACCTATCTGATGCCAGGTTAGACCAGAGGCTCTCCAGGGGCCTTCCCGGGAGTGATCTTGGGAACTGACTCTGAGCTCTCTTCTGAGTCTGAAACGATCCTTTCTAAAGAGGCTGTCGATATGACTGCCAGGCTGGGGGTCATCCAGGTGCCACCTGGGAGAAGCTCAGGGAGGCTCCAAGCCCTGCCAGCCCAAGGGACCAGGTAGGACTGATTGCAGACTCTCCACCAGGTAGGGTTTCCCGTCGGAGTCCCTGAGCTCCGCCTCCTCTGCCACCACTACACCTCTCCACCGAGGGCCGGCGTGGCCACAAGGAACCCTGGGCCTTGTAACTAGGGGGAAGGAGAAGCACACTTGGAAGGCTAATAACCAAGGACGCAGGTTACTTCCTAAAGGAAGTGACTGAAACTGAGACCTAAAGAAAGACCAGGAATTCATTTATTCAATCAGTAGATGCCTATGGAATGGGTAGCATATAGCAAATACTGTCACGCGTGCTTGGGTTCACATTACTGAAAAAAGTTGTCAAGATGCCTGTCCTCTGTTAAACTTACATTCTACAGCAAGAAGTAGTCGCAGGGGCCTCCCTGGTGGCACAAGGGTAAAGACGCAGCCTATGAAGCTGTCCACAGCCACTGCAGCACGAGTTCGATTCCTGGCCAGCCAAGGAGCTACCCATATGGCACGGCAGACCTCTCCTGATAACATGTGGCAAGAGAGAAATGGAAGGAAATGTCCAGCTTCTCAGCACCATTTAAAAGAGCAACAGAGGGTCAAGGATTGTCAGTCAACAGTTGTTAAAATAAGAAATTATCTCAAAGCGCAGCTAGGAAACCGTGCCCTCAGGAAAAGTGGGGTGAGAACCGTGGCTGTAAGACCCTTTGGTAAAATCGCAGATTCCATGCAGAGCCTCATAGACCTCCCCCCACGCCAAACGACCAAGTCTTCTAAGACTCTGAAGGCAGCCTCAAAGATCCTTCCAGGTGTGCAAGAGGGCTTTGAAGAATCCTGAACTTCATGACTGTCAGCCCAGGGTTTAGAGGGAACCGTCTCAAAGAGATGGGTGGCATGACCACCAATTTTGCCTAAAGAAATCTGTTAGCATCTCATACACCAGAAACATACAGTTTTTTGTTTTTGTTTTTGTTTTTTTAAGACTTAGGGCAAAAGGAGCAGAGACAGTTCAAAATGGAAACAGACCCCTGGGTCACTAACCTCCTGCAGACAGGAGTAGGCTGAAAAAAGTAATGGGCTTCAAACAGCAACACTGATCATGGCCAAGAGGGGACGAGTCAGAAGATCCCAAAGGCAAGAGCCAAGCGCAGAGGCTCTACTCCCAGGGAGTAAAGCCAGGCAATAATAAAATATACTCGCTACCTCTGCAGCAGGAGGAAAGCTACCTGACTGTACTTGGAATTGTATGAATCGATGCCTGCTAAGTGCCTCCCATTTGCTTCTCTCTAAATGGGATGTCTATTGTGGCTGTCAGTCCCCAACTCAACGTGCATGATAAGTAACAAAAAAATTATCTTAATTCAGTTCTTCCAAATGAGGTCAGCCATAATGAGAGAGCCGTTCCACAGGAAACATATCCCGAGAGCCTCAAGTATACCCAGCTCTGATCCAAGTAGTGAGATCCTAAACTTCAAGCTGATATCACATTGGGGTGAAACTTTGGGTCCTCTTGGGAGGCACATGTTGCTTGCGGGAGGCTCATGAGCTGCAGTGGCCAGAGAGTACACTGGGGGATATGTCCAACAATTCCTTCCCTCTCTGTACATGTAAATCATCAGAGATAAAACCCATTTTCCCTTCTCTTGAGTCTGAGCTGGCCCTTTGTGCTTTGGCCAATAGAAAAAGGTGGAAGTGACCCCCTGCATTCAGGTGGTCTTCTTCACCAGGCTGTGGAGAAATGCAAGTAGCCACATGAGAAAGTCTCAGATGGAGGAGAATCAAGTCCCTGTACCCCAGGTATCAACATGTTGCCTCTCAGCGCCAGTTCACCCTTCAGTGCCTGCTCTGTGAAAATTGACAGGGAGGCTTTAAGTACTTTTCTTTGTCTGCTGGCACAATGTTGAGCCTGTCAGTAGAGGGCACTGGAGAGATATTGCAGGATGAACAGGCTTTTCTTTCCCAATTCCTCTTGCCAGATTCCTGCAGCACCCACAGTTTCTCCCAGTACACTTCCCTGCTGGTTTTCAGGAGGAATACATCATTATGAACAGTTTTTCTTAATATCATAGAGGGCAGAATTTTACCAAGTTCAAAAAGGTATATTTCCAGCAAGTTCTGCCAGTGCTGTGACAGATGCTGTGACAAATGCTTAATATTCAATACAATCTGGATCTAAGGCCTAGGGGGTCCTCTTCCTGCGTGCCTTCTCAGACCTAGAAGTGGGGACTGCTCCTTATATCTGCAGCACTTGTATTTTTCAGAGTTCCTGCATTTTATTTGCTTGCCAACCCCCAGTTAAGGTTGATAATTCTTTATATTAAACCTTATCTATTCATGAGTGGACTAGGAAGATGTGGTATATATGCACAATGGAATACTCCTCAGCTATAAAAAGATAAACTCTTGACTTCTGCAACAATGTGGATGGAGCTGGAAGGGATCATGCTAAATGAAATCAGTCAGAAGGAAAAAGACAAACACCAGATGGTTTCACGCAAAGGTGGAGTATAGTGAAACAAAATAAAGGATCAGATAAAACCAAGTCAATAACAAGCCCCAGAAACCTGACTGTAGAATTAAGGCTACCAAAGGGGGGGGGGCAAGGGAACAGCACAATGGGGAGGGGGCCCAATGGACTATAGGTGCCTTGGCAGTGGTGTCATGCTGTGATGTATACCTAAAGAGTGCGACCTAAGCCTCTAAATCATATAGTGTTATAAACCAATGTCACTGCAAATAAATAAACAAACAAACTTGATCTGCTCGAAGTATCATCTTTTGATTCAACAATCTGGTCAACAGCCCAACTAAACTCCCAGCTGTTGGCCAGCACCAGGTCCAGCTCCGTGAGATGAAGCCATTCTGGAGTTTCCAGACATGCTAGCACCCCCAAAGAGCATCATCTAAGGGAGAACCGCCCAGTAAACCCACAGAATCATGAGAAATAAGAAAGTATTATTGTATTAAGCCTACAAATTTTAGAGTGATCTGTTATGCCAAGAACGATCTGAAGCACCACCACACAGCCCAGCAGGCAGCAAGAGCACATTTTACATAAGCTAAAGCTCCGCGAGCATTAATGATCTGCCCATGATTACAAAATGGTAAATGATTGTACCGGCATCAAACATAGGTTTGTATTAATAAAACCCTTTTAAATACATAATCTCAGGGAGCCAGGAGGGATGGGCAGGCCCTTGGGAATGCGATCCAGCCTCCTCCATTCTACAGCCAAGGAAACAGAAGCCCAGAGGGTGGAAGCAGCTTGTCCAAAGACACATGTTTGGGGAGAGGCGAACTCAGGACTTCTCCTGACTTCTCCTGACTCTCAGCCCAGGCCCCTCCTCCCCACACTGTTCATCTCATGGCCTCTCTCCTTCTCACCTCCGCACACTTCATCACACGCTTCCCGCTCCAGAACGACCCGGGGTGGAGGGCGGGAGAGGGAATCTCCAAGGGCACATGTCTAGAGACAGCTTTCGCTGGCACAGCTGGGGGTAGGAAGTCCCACCTGCAGCTAGCGAAGAGTGGGTGACACTGTTCACCATCCCACAGGGTGCAGGACGGCCTCCAACAAAGAGTTCTCCAG